GAAAGGTTTTGTGGTTGAGTTGCTGTCTCAGTCACTCCACTGGACACCTTGCCTGATTACAGAAGACAGGCCAGTTCAGGCTCCATATCCCCCATTACTAGGAATCTCAGCTAGTCTAGGGTAACCCTAGTAGATTCTTGGGAGTTTCCATTGTACTAGGTTTCTACCTCACTCCCAAAGTCCCCTCACAATTGCAATCATTTCTCCCAGTATTCTCTCACTCTATTACCCTACAGACTAATCCCTCCTATTCCCATCCCCACCCCACCTCCAGTCCACCATGAAAATCTATTCTATTTCCTCTTCCCAGGGAGATATGAGAGCCCTCTTGAGCCCTCCTTGTTACTTAGCCTCTCTGGATCTGTGGATTGTGATTATCCTTTATATACAACTAACACCCACTTAAAAGTGAGTATATATAGGTATGTTTGTCTTTCTAGTTCTGGGTTACCTCATCAGAAAGATTTTTCTAGTTCCATTCATTTGCCTGCAAATTTCATGATGTCAATTTTTTAACAGCTGAGTAATACTCCATTGTACAAATGTACCACATTTTCTTTATCCATTTTTGGATGAGAGACATCTAGGTTGTTTCCAGTTTCTAGATATTGTGAATAAAACTGCTATGAACATAGTTAAGCAAGTGTCCTTGTGGTAGGATAGAGTGTCCTTTGGGTATATGCTCATGAGTGGTGTAGCTGGGTTCTTGAGGTAGATCAATTCCCAATTTTCTGAGAAACTGCCATATTGATTCCCAAAGTGACTGTGCAAGTTTGCACTCCCACCACCAATGGAGGAGCGTTCTGCTTACTCCATATCCTCTCTAGCATGAGCTGTCACTTGCTTTTGACCTTAGCCATTCTGGAAAGTGTAAGATGGAATCTCAGAATCATTTTGATTTTCATTTCCCTGATGGCTAAGGATATTGAACATTTCTTTAAGTATTTATGAGCCATTTGAATTCTCTGTTGAGAATTCTTTATTTAGATCTGTACCCTATTTTTTAATTGGATTATTTGGTTTTTGATGTCTAGTTTATTGAGTTCTTTATATACTTTGGAATTTAGCCCTCTGTCAGATATGGAGTTGTTAAAAATCTTTTCCCATTTAGTAGATTGCTGTTTTGTCTACTGATGGTGTCCTTTCTTTGCCTTACTGAAGATTTTCAGTTTCATGAGGTCCCATTTATTAATTGTTGATCTTAATACCTACACTATTGGTGTTCTGTTCAGGATGTTGTCTCCAGCGCCAATGCTTTGAAGGCTATTCCTCACTTTTTCTTCTATCAGGTTCAGTGTATCTCATTTAATGTTGAGGTCTTTGGTACACTTGGACTTGTGGTTTGTGCAGGGAGATATATATGAATCTATTTGCATTCTTCTACATGCTGACATCCAGTTAGACCAGCACCACTTGTTGAAAATGCTTTCTTTTTTCCATTGAATATTTTTGAATTCTTTATCAAAACTCAAGCTTCCATAGGTGTGTAGATTTATGTCTGAGTCTTCAACTTGAATCCATTGATCCACCTGTCTGCTTTTTTATCAATATCATGTGTTTTTTTTATTACTACAGCTCTGTAGTACAGCCTGAAATCAGGGATGGTGATACCCCTGGACGTTCTTTCACTGGACAAGATCATTTTTGATATCCTGGGTTTTTTGTTTTTCTATATGAAATTGAGTATTGTTCTTTCAAGGACTGCAAAAAATATGTTGGAATTTTGATGGGGATTGCTTTGTATCTGCAGTTTTTTTTTATAAAATGGCCAATTTTACTATGTTAATCCTACCAATCTGAGACCATAGGATATCTTTCCATCTTTTTATATCTTATTCAATTTCTTTCTTCAGAAAGTTCAAGTTCTTGTCATATAGGTCTTTTACTTGTTTGGCTAAAGTTACCCCCAAGATATTTTGTATTGTTTGTGGCTATTGTAAAGGGTGTTGTTTCCCTGATTTCTTTCTCAACCTGTTTGTTATTTGTATATAGGAGAGGTTTTGAGTTAATCTTGTATCCAGGTAATTTGCTGAAAGTGCTTATCAGCTGTAAAAATTTCCTGGTAGAGTTTTTGGGTCATTTATGTATACTATATCATCTGCAAATAAACTTTGACTTCTTCCTTTCCAAAATGTATTCCTTGATCTCCTTTAGTTATCTTATTGCTCTAGCTAGAACTTCAAACACTATCTTCAATAGATATGGAGAGAATGGAAAGCCTTGTCATGTTCCTGATTTTAGTGAAATTGATTTGAGTTTCTCTCCATTGAACTTGATGTTGACTGTTGGCTTGCTGTAAATTGCCTTTATTATGTTTAGGTATGTACTTTGTATCCCTGATGTCTCCAAGACTTTTATCATGAAGGGGTATTGGAGTTTGTCAAAGCTTCTTCAACATCTAATGAGGTGATCATATGGGTTTTTCTTTCTGTTTGTTTATATGGCATATTACATTACTGATTTTCATATGTTGAACCACCACTGCATCTCTGGGATAAAGCCTAATTGACTATGGTGGATGATCTTTTTGATGTGTTATTGGATTCAGTTTGCCAGTATTTTATTGGGTATTTTTGCATCAATGTTCATGAGAGAACTTGGTCTTTAATTCTCTTTCTTTGTTGAATCTTTCTGTGGTTTTAGTGTCAGGTTGACTGCAACCTCATAAAAAGAATTTGGCGATGTTCTTTCTGTCTCTAGTTTGTGAAATAATTTTGGAAGTAACGGTATTAGTTCCTCTTTAAAAGTCTGGAAGAACTCTGTGTCAAAACTATCTGGCCTGGACTTTTTATTTGGGAGACTTTAAAAGACTGCTTCTATTTCCTTTGACATTATAAGTCTATTTAAATTGTTTATCTGATCTTGATTTAGCTTTGGTGAGTGGTATCTATCAAGAAAACTGTCTATTTCTTTTAGATTTTCCAATTTTGTGCAGTACAGGTTTTTTTCTGATTAACTGGTTGGAAGTCTATTTTGTTAGACATTAGAATAGCTACACCAGCTTGCTTCTTGTATCCATTTGCCTGGAAAATCTTTTTCCAACCCTTTACTCTGAGGTAATGTCTGTCTTTGATGTTGAGGTGTGTTTCTTGTACACAGAAGAATGATGGATCCTGGTTTTTTTTTTTTTCCCCATTCTGATAGCCTCTCTATTGAGGAATTGAGTCCATTGATATTGAGAGATATTAATGTCAATGACTGTTAATTCCTGTTATTTTGTTGTGGTAGAGGTAACGTGTGTGTGTGTGTGTGTGTGCGCGCGCGTGCGTGCGTGTGTGTGTGTGTGTGTGTGTGTGAGAGAGAGAGAGAGAGAGAGGGAGGGAGGGAGAGAGAGAGAGAGAGAGAGATTATTTATTTCCTATGTTTTCATGGTTATAGTTAGCCTCCTTAGATTGGAGTTTTCCTTTTAGTACTTTCTGTAGGACTGTATTTGTGGCTAGATATTGATTAAATTTGATTTTGTTATGAAATATCTTGTTTTCTCTGTCTATGGTGACTGAAAGTTTTTCTGGGCATAGTAGTCTGGGCTGGCATCTGTGGTCTTAGAGTTTACAAGACATCTGTCCAGGCTCTCTGGCTTTTAGAGTTTCTGTTAAGAAGTCAGGTGTAATTTTAATAGGTCTGCCTTTATATGTTACTTGGTCTTTTTCCTTTGTAGCTTTTAATATTTGTTCTTTGTTCTGTACATCCAGTGTTTTGATTATCATGTGGTGGGGAGACATTCTTTTCTGGTCCAGCATATTTCGTGTTCTGTAAGCTTCTTTATAGGCATGCCATTCATAAAATGAGGAATTCTTCTTCTATGATTTTGTTCAAAATATTTTCTGGGTCTTTGGGTTGGGATTCTTCTTCATCTATTCCTGTTATTCTCAGTCTTGGTCTTTTTATAGTGTCCCAATTTCCTAGATTTTTTTGTGTGTCAGGAAATTTTTAGATTTAACATTTTCTTTGACTTATGGATCAGTACCTTCTATCATACTTTGTACACCTAAGATTCTTCCATTTCTAGTATCCTGTTGTTGATAATTGTGTCTATAGTTCTGTTCACTTACCTAGATTTCCCATCTCCAAAGTTATCTCAATTTTTGTTTTCTTTATTGCTTCTATTTCCACTTTCAGGTCTTAAACAGTTTTATTCATTTCCTTCTCCTATTTTTTTCTTGGCTTTCTTTAAGCGATTTATTCAGTTCCTCCAATGGTTTGTTTGTGCTTTCCTGGATTTCTTTAAGACTGATTTCCTCTTTAGTGACCTCTATCAACTTCATAAAGTCGGTTTTAAGGTTGTTTTCTTGTGCTTCATCTGTGTTGGAATATTCAGGGTTCACTGTAGCAGGTTAGCTGGGCTCTGATGGTGACATGTTGCCCTGACTGTTGTTTTTTGTCTTCTTACACTGGCCTCTAGGCATCTGGGTTTGGGGTAATTACAGGTTTAGGTATGGATTTCTGAGATTTTCTTTGTTGTATAGATGTGTTTTCCCCCTTGATTTCAGTTTCATCTCTGGTCTTCTGGCCTGAGTGGCCTGTGGTTCTGGTGACCAGCAAGTTCTTTGGTCCAGTAAGGTGTCTCCACTGGGGTTTTCATGTCCTGCTTGACCTCTGGGGTTCTGGATGCTGACATTACCTATGAGGTTATGGAATTCTAGGAACTAGCTTGCCCTGGTAAAACAGAAGGCTTCCACCAGAGTTGTGGGCTAGGATATGGAGACTAGGGGATGGGGTCTATTGGGGCAAAAACTGGAAATGTTCATGGTTGGCACGACAGGGCCTTACCTGGGCTTTTGGTTACCGGCATGGCCTCTGGTAGAGCAAGGAGCTTCTGCTGGAGTTGTGGGCTAGGATATTGTTTTTATTTTTAATATAATTTCTTTAACTGAACATATTTTTAAATCCTAATGAACAGCAATGAGATTTGATTACAACCTGAAAGCTAAGAGTTACATTGTCTTGATCAATTTGTCCTTCATATCTCTCCCAAATTCCTCCAAAACACGCCCAGAAACAAGGAGATGAACAACCACAACAGCAGCATCTCGGACTTCATCCTACTAGGTCTCTCTTCTAACCCCCAGATGCAGAAACCCCTTTTTGCCATCTTCTTCATCATGTACCTGGTCACTGTGGGGGGGAATGTGCTCATCATCCTGGCCATCCACTCTGACTCCAGGCTCCACACCCCCATGTACATTTTCCTCAGCATCTTATCATTTATGGATATCTGCTTCACAACAGTCATTGTGCCCAAGATGCTAGTGAACTTGCTCTCAGAGACAAAAACCATCTCTTACACAGGATGTCTCATTCAGATGTACTTCTTCATAGCTTTAGCAAACACTGACAGTTACCTACTGGCCTCCATGGCCATTGACAGACTGGTGGCCATCTGCAACCCTTTACATTATGATGTGGTGATGAGGCCACAACGCTGTCTCTTCATGCTCCTGGGCTCTTGTACCATCTCCCACCTGCATGCCCTGTTCCGTGTCCTTCTCATGTCTCGCCTCTCATTCTGTGCCTCCCATGTCATTAAGCACTTTTTCTGTGACACCCAACCTGTGCTGAAGCTCTCCTGCTCTGACACATCCTCCAGCCAGATTGTAGTCATGACTGAGACCCTGGCTGTCATCGTGACCCCCTTCCTATGCATCCTCTTCTCTTACTTGAGAATCATTGTCACTGTGCTCAGGATCCCCTCTGCAGCTGGAAAATGGAAAGCCTTCTCTACTTGTGGCTCCCACCTCACTGTAGTGGCCCTGTTCTATGGGAGTGTCATCTATGTCTACTTTAGACCTCTGTCCATGTACTCAGTGGTGAAAGACCGGGTAGCCACCGTTATGTACACAGTAGTGACTCCTATGATGAATCCTTTCATATATAGCCTGAGGAACAAAGATATGAAGAGAGGTTTGAGGAAGTTAAGAGACAGACTTCACTCACAGAAATGTCAATTCTGAAACATACAATTGAGAGATGACCTAAGACATTTACAGCTACTTTAACTTTCTATACATCTACGCATGATCCTCTATAAAATAGCAAGGGGTATTATTGAACACCAGCATTGTTAATCTGGAAGTAAGATACTTGGTTTCTGTCTATCATCTTGACTAAATACACATTTATTCTCAGACCATGTGCTGCAGGACTCCAAATTTCAGGAATTTTTGCAATACTCAATATGTTGGTAACTGTAGATGCATGTACATGTCCCAAACCTGGGAAATATATATTGATCAGTGTTCATAATAATGAATTATGTGATCTTAGTAGGAAATTAGGAAACACATCCTGGACCAATGAGCTGAGGTCAGTCTAAAGACAGACTGAAGATGGGCAAAAAAAAGATTCAAAGATGAAGAAAGGGCAGAGCATTTCAAATGGTAAAGACATTTCATTGTGTAGAGGAAGTAAACATGGTAGTGCATCTGGGAGATGGTGAGAAAGGCAGTGGGTGAGCTTGTTCAATTTAAGAATAAGGGGGATAAAGTTAGACAGGCAGGGTAAACTACAAAAATATCTATAGGTCTCACCTAGGTTTCACCATTAATTCCATGACATGGTGAATTCTCAGGACACACCTCCTCTTCCATTGCTCTTAATTCTTTGTTTCCCTAGATGTCAATAATCTTCCCTAATCTTCCCTTGTGAGCTACATATGTCAATGTATCAGGCATGATATATGCAAGGTTGTGCTATACAAATAAATAGCCCAAAAGTCTAGTGACCTTAAAAACAAAGATTTAATTCTCATTTATACCACATGCTCATCATAGAAAGCTGTAAGGTGCTATCCATTTCAAACAGTCTGTGAGCCAGGTATATAAAGCAGCTACCTTTATAAACATTAGTCATCACTTTGTCTGAAGCCAGGAAATATTCTTGAAGATTTTTTACTGACAAGTCAACACTCAAATCCAAGGGACCTTTAACTCCTTCTGACCAGACCTCAAACAGAGGAAGCCATGAGAGACCATCAAATCATGAGCTTGTACATGGAAAGCATTAGTAACTACTACATACATTGCTACACAAAAACATCAATATGGTTGCAATTTAATAAGTAATTTCTGGCTGTGTTGTCAATAAAATACCAACTAAAGACAGAATCTATCCAGAAAATTGTCCATTTCCTTTAAATTTTTCAATTTTGTGAAGTACAGGTATTTGAAGTATGACTTGATAATTCTATGGATTTCCTCAGTGTCCTTTGTTATGTCCCTCTTTTCATTTCTGATTTTGTTAATTGGCATGTTCTCTCTCTCTCTCTCTCTCTCTCTCTCTCTCTCTCTCTCTCTTTTCATTAGTTTGCATAAAGGTTTGTCTATCTTATTGATTTTCTTAGAGAACCAACTCTTTGTTTCATTATTCTTTGTATTGTTTTCTTTGTTTCTGCTTTATTGATTTCAGTCGACCATCCTGAGTGAGCTAACCCAGACACAGAAAGACAAACATAGTATGTACTCACTCATAAGTGGATATTAGACAAAGGGCAAAGGATTACAATCCACAACCCCAGAGAAGCTAGGAAACAAGGAGGACCTTAAGGGAGACATACATGGACCCCCGGAGAAGGGGAAAGGGATAAGATCTCCTGAGCAAATTGGGAACATGAGGGGGAGGGGGAGAGAGGTAGGAGAAAGAGGAGGGGAGAAGGGGGAAGGAGAACATGAGGGATCAGGAAAATCAAGTTGGGGGAAAGAATAGAGAAGGAGAGCAAGAAAAGAGATACCTTAATAGAGGGAGCCATTATAAGTTTAAAGAGAAATCTGGCACTAGGGAAATCTCCAGAGATCCACAAGGATGACCCCAACTAAGAATCTAATCAGTAGTGGAGAGGCTACCTTCTCCTATAATGAGATTGATGACTACCTTAAATGCCATCATAAAGCTTTCACCCAGTAGCTGATGGAAGTATAAGCAGAGATCCTCAGCTAAGCACTGAGCTGAACTCCTGGAATCCAGTTGTAGAGAGGAAGGAATGATGAGCAAAGGGATCAAGACCATGATGGAGAAACCCACAAAAACAGCTGACCTGAGCAAGTGGGAGCTCATGATCTCCAGTCTGACAGCTGGGGAACCAGCATAGGTCCAAACTAGACCCCCTGAACCTGGGTGTCGGTTGGAAAGCTTGGGCAATCTATGGGGTCTCTGGCAGTGGAACCAGTATTTGTCCCTAGTGCACAAATGGGCTTTGTGCCTAGATACACAGGGGAGGGCCTAGGTCCTGCCCCAAGTGATGTGACAGACCTTGATGATCCCCCAATGGAAGGCCTCACCCTCCCTGGGGAGTGGATGGAGGGTGGGATGGGAGACTGGTAGGGGGAATAGGAGGATGGGAGGGAGAGGGAACTGAGATTGGTATGGAAAATAAGATTGTTTTTATTTTAAACAAAAAATTATTTTAAAAAGACTTAGAATCATCACTAAGTCTGTATGCTTCATTGAGTTCTCACTACTAGCAGTGTTTCTTAATCCCCAGCTTGTTATCAGCAAGGTGAGAAATTTAAATATATGACCATGAACTTTCAAGATATTGAGGGGGTTTTGTTGTTTTTTCTCCAATAAAACACAGAGACATCTGGGATTCAAAATAAAGGTGCCTTCCATTGTTGTTCTGTGTCCACTCAGAAATCTAAGAAAATACCCAGAAAGACAGAAGAGAAATTCAGTTTCAATCGTCTTCATATTTGTATAAGCACACCTGACCTTAATCATTTGGCTTTGAGATGTTGAGCTAAAAAATGCCCAATAAGGTATTCCATAGTGTTCTCATACCAAATATTAAATAAGGTCAGAGAGATATTTTAAAATGTGAAAAACTGCTAGCATATATTAAGTAAATAATTTATTCCAACCTGCAATAACTTATAAACCAAGTCCTCTGGCCCCTAGACCCACCACATGTGTAGGTGTGTGGGGTTACATGTGTAGGTGTTGGAGGGGTCACACTATATAGTTCAAGTTGTCCATGAACTCATGATGTAGCCCAGTCTGGATACCTCAAACTCACGGTCCTCCTGCACCAGTCTCTTCGCAAGTACTGAGCTTACAGTGTGCACCACGATGCCAGGCTCCTACCACAATTGTTTTTTATTGCTTACTTACTCTGACAAAGCATCAGACCTTTTTTTCTCAACAAATATGTGAGAACTGAGAAATCAAGATCTTTTGTGAACAGTCTTATATTTCAGAAGTTCAAACTAAATAATTCTAAATCACAAGGAATCATAAGATAGATCTTTAGGTACTAACTTCATCTAAGTCTCCATTTCTCAGTAGGATCTGGAATGGCGTCACTGTAGGGACAAGAGACCAGTCACTTCCCATAAAACATCCTGTTTGCCTCTAGGAGAACTGAGTGCAGAGAGGGGGTAGTCCCTGAAGACTTTATTAAGACTTTTACTAAAGTAAAAATTGAATAGAATGCTTCCTCGGAGCCTTTGAGAACAGACCTCAGATCTCCTTGCCACAGTGGCTAGTTGAATACAGTGGGAGAAAACTCCTGGAGATTTGTCCTCTGATGAAAAAACTTTGGAGGGAAGAGCATTGGATCATTAAGGGACACGTTCATTACATACACATGTATTAGTACTGGAAATTTGGCTTGATATTGAAGCAGAAAATTCAGTTCATTAAACATATTTTCTGATTTAATAGAGCAAATTCTAAGTAGATGGAATGATGTAGAGCATGGGAGATTAAGAGGACATGAGGGAGGGAGAATGCAAAGAATTTCTGCCATTGAAGAACCATATTTGAAAGGCACTTAGAAAGTGTATTTTAAACTTTAAAGAACAGCCACAAAAATCAAGAAAAGAAATTTCAAAATGTCATGACTATTAACCAGTGTCACAATATGATGAGAGTTTAAACAAAGTAAACCCAGAACATTAACCCCTTGTTTCAGTGATCTACCAGCCATTAATGTCAGTAAGATTGCAGAAGAGGTTGGAAGTTCTGCCCTTCACTAGCTGACACACTCATGAGAGCTGGCCCTGCCCCTCCCCCAGTGTGGGAGAGATGCCCTCTGCTCCTCGCCTGGGCAGTTCGGGGGAGCTGGCCTCACCCCTCACTGGCTGATGCACTCAGGAGAGCTGGCCCAGGCCCTCACCTAGGCGGAGCAGGAGAGCGAGCCCTCGTGGCATGGGTGCCCCATGCCCCATGGCCCACTTCTCACCTGGCCAGAGGGGGCACAGCTCTGGTGGCATTGGTGCAGGAAAGTGGCCAACTCTACTAGGCCCAGATCCAGGGCTTTGAGTTGACCCACCCCAACACCTTCCCCATCTAGATGCTGCTGGAGTGTGGAAAGGGGCTGCGGGATCTCCCACAACTCAGGGCCGCTCTACTAGGCCCAGATCCAGGGCTTTGAGTTGGCCCACCCGAACATCTTCCCCATCTAGTTGCTGCTGGAGTGTGGAAAGGGGCTGCGGGATCTCCCACAACTCAGGGCCACAGCAGGATAGATGAGGGTCTCTATGAGGGTCCAGTATTGGCGTTGCAGCAGAAACCAGGGGCCTTGAACTAGCCTAAATACTCACAACATTCTCAAGTAAAGCTGTTTGGGCTGATTTGGAAAATGCAACACCGTGTGACACACTACAACCTCCAATGCCACTATGATGAATGGATTTGTAATGAAGATGCCGGAAAGAGAGGAGTGGATGGTACCTGCAAAGAACACTGCAGCTGATAGAGGGACAGGTCATTGCCCAGAGATGAGGACGACATAGTCCTTTGTTTTGTTTTATTTTGTTTTACTAACTTTTGGGGGGTACAAGGGTGGAAGACAGATATAGATGGAATGGGAAATGAGTGGGGTTGGGGTACATGATATGAAACACCCCAAGATTCAATAAAAATTATGTTATGAAAGAAAAAGGTTAGAAAGGGAGATCCATTGAGAGGGTTAAGGTGCATGGAATGAGACTATGGAGTCAGTGACAGAGTTTCTTTT